TGGAGTGCATTACTGTGATATGTTGTTTTACATTTGCTTTTAGAGAGTGGCGTGCATGATAGCAATACGTACTGTAATTTTTACTACTTAAGTTTCAGTGAGCATAATGGGATAGGTAGTTTTCAGTAGCTGAACTGCAAAGGTCACAAAATTTAGATCTATAAAGTTTGTTTCTTTGACATTTGGTTTATTTGGTATTTAATCTTTTGATTTGTGAAATTTATGGTTGTAAATATTCTCAAGTTTAATATTGACACAAATTTTACAAATCGATTTTAAATTCGACAGATTACCCTTTTTAGTAAATTCCTTCCCCTCTCCCCATGTTTATGTGGTAGTCATTCCCCTCCCCCTTTTAATTAGGAATGACTCTAATAAATGTAGTGTGACTTAAAGGGCACATGTCATGCCCCGAACAACTTATGCTCAGTAGAATGAGCATTAGATTTTATCTGCACGTGGTGCTAGCAATTTTACTAGCAAATGTATACAGTGAGGGAAAAAAGTATTTTATCCACTTCTGATTTTGAACGTTTGCCCACTGACAAAGAAATGATCAGTCTATAATTTTAATGGTAGGTGTATTTTAACAGTGAGAGACAGAATAACAAAAAAATCTGGAAAACGCATGTCAAAAAAGTTATAAATTGATTTGCATGTCGGTGAGTGAAATAAGTATTTGACCCCTTCAACTTAGTACTTGGTGGCAAAACCCTTCTTGGCAATCACATAGGTCAGACATTTCTTGTAGTTGGCCACCAGTTTTGCACACATCTCAGGAGGGATTTTGTCCCACTCCTCTTTGCAAATCCTCTCCAAGTCAAGGTTTCGAGGCTGACGTTTGGCAACTCGAACCTTCAGCTCCGTCAACAGATTTTCTATGGGATTAAGGTCTGGAGACTAGCTAGGTTACTCCAGGACCTTAATGTGCTTCTTCTTGAGCAACTCCTTTGTTGCCTTGGCTGTGTGTTTTGGGTCATTGTCGTGCTGGAATACCCATCCACGAACCATTTTCAATGCCCTGGCTGAGGGAAAGAGATTCTCACCCATGATTTGATGGTACATAATGATTCCACCTCCATGTTTGAGGGTGAGGATGGTGTTCTTGGGGTCATAAGCAGCATTCCTCCTCCTCCAAACATAGCGCGTTGAGTGGATGCCAAAGAGCTCGATTTTAGTCTCATCTGACCACAACACTTTCACCCAGTTATCCTCTAAATCATTCAGATGTTCATTGGCAATCTTCAGATGGGCCTGTACATGTGCTTTCTTGAGCTTGCGGGGGTCATGCGGGTGCTGCAGGAAGTGTGTGTTACCAATTGTTTTCTTGGTGACTATGGTCCCAGCTGCCTTGAGATCATTTACAAGATCCTCCCATGTAGTTCTAGGCTGATTGCTCACCGCTCATGATCATTGAAAGTCCACGAGGTGAGACTGACAGTTATTTTGTGTTTCTTCCATTTGCGAATAATCGCACCAACTGTTGTCACCTTCTCACTAAGCTGCTTGGCGATGGTCTTGTAGCCCATTCCAGCCCTGTGTAGGTCTACAATCTTGTCCCTGACATTATTGGACAACTCTTTGGTCTTGGCCATGGTGGAGAGTTTGGAACCTGACTGATTAATTGCTTCTGTAGACAGGTGTCTTTTATACAGGTAACAAGCTGAGATTAGGAGCACTCCCTTTAAGAGTGGCATAAAAGACACCTGGGAGTCAGAAATCTTGCCATCTGTATAAAAGGCACCTTGGAGCCAGCAATCTTGCTGATTGATAGGGGATCAAATGCTTATTTCACTCATTGACATGCAAATCAATGTATAACTTTTTTGACATGCGTTTTTTTGGATTTTTTTTTAATTCTGTCTCTCACTGTTAACCTACCATTAAAATTATAGACTGATCATTTCTTTGTCAGTGGCCAAACATTCAAAATTAGCAGGGGATCAAATACTTTCCCCCCTCACTGTAGATTAGGAGAAAAACCTTTTGGTAATAGATTTTTCTCCCAGATGTCAGTCAATGCCAAGGACCCCTCTACTCTCCACCCATGCTGTGGATGCCATGGAAACTCCATAGCCAGCACTTCACATCACTCTGTTCCAACGCTGGCACACTCGTAGCAAAGTGTACCAATGCCACTGATGAGATTTGCCCTATTGAGGACGCTTCCTAAGCACAGCAAATCAAAGAAGAACTCAGTAGGAGCACAGGCGGGGCAGAGGACGACCAGCAGGTGGGTGTTACATGAAGAATAACTCCCACAAAGCGGAGCTGGAAGGAGGAAAAGTGAGTTAATCTTTATATTTTACATTGAATATACCCTATACTCTAAACCCTATGGTAGGTGCAACACAGGCAGGGGGTACATCAAGGGCTGGCCGGCTGGCTGCCTTAGCCACTGCAAGGAGGTGGCCAGCTGTGGGAGAATGGAGTCAGAGGATGGTGAGGGAGCAGTAATCTTCATGATCTTACAGTATTGCTCCTTCGTGTGCCCTTCTGTGATACTGTAAGCCGGGTTATATCACTCCGGCCCCAGCATCACTAAACAGTGCGGAAACTTTGTTTTTCTGGCACTATAGTTTCCCTTTAGGGGTATTGAAAAGGTAAAGTGTATATTGAGGATCTATGAAAGTAAAAAAAAAAAAAATATATATATATGAAAATTATATATATAACAAGTTATGCATGACAATCAGGTGTTAGTGCATCAGTTGCATGTGAGTGGCATGTGCTTCACATGTGCTGAGACAGACAACTAAGCTGCGTGGGATATGCATAAGGCTATCCTAACTATAAGATATGGCCAGGGACTAATGAAAGTATTTAGAAAATTGGGCAGACTAGATGGGCCGAATGGTTCTTATCTGCCGTCACATTCTATGTTTCTATTTTTCAATGCATGTATTTTTTTCCTTTTGTCTATGTAGTCTGCTTACTAGCCACTAGAGGGTACTGGAGCTGGCAGACTGATTCAGTAGTCTGATATGTAGAATGATCTAAATTTATAAACACAATTTCAGGAGAAATCATTTGAAGCCGCAGATTTAGATAAAATTCACTAAATTTAAGTTCTCATCATTCTAGTTAATAAAATCAAATCCCAATGAGTCGAGTCAACCTCAGTTTGCAGTATCTCTGGATTGATATGAATGTATTGTATAGATTATAATAATTCATAAAACAATGGATACATTTATCTAATAGGAGCGATTCCACTCATCATTGAAAATGAGTGTAATTGCTCAAACAAACTGCAAGCTGTCATATCATGGCTGATAGCCTGGTACATGAATTAGTAACTGGGCTATATTTGTTTTAATTCTTTATTTTTATATAGTTACATAGCTGAAAAGATACTTGCGTCCATCAAGTTCAGCCTTTCTCACATTCGTTTTTTGCTGTTCATCGAAAGAAGGCAAAAAAAACCAGTTTGAAGGACTTCCAATTTTGCAACAAACTAGGAAAAAAAAAATTTCCTTCTTGACCCCAGAATAGCAGTCAGATTTATCCTTGGATCAAGCAGCTATTACCCTACATTGAAATTTTTTATCCTTGAATATTCTGATTTTGCAAGTATGCATCTAGTTGCTGTTTGAACATATGTATGGACTCTGATAAAACCACTTCTTCATGCAGAGAATTCCACATCCTTATTGTTCTTTCAGTAAAAAAAACCCTTTCCTTTGCCTTCGACGAAATCTTATTTCTTCCAGTCTAAACACATGACCTCATATCCTATGTAAAGTCCGGTTTGTGAATAGATTTCCACACAATGGTTTGTATTGGCCCTGAATATATTTGTATAATGTTATCATATCCCCTCTCAGGCAATGTTTTTCTAAACTAAATAGATTTAAATTTGTTAACCTTTCTTCATAGCTGATATTTTCCATTCCTATTATTAATTTTGTAGCCTGCCTCTGCACTTTTTCGAGTGCCATAATATCCTTCTTTAGAACAGGTGCCCAAAATTGCACAGCATATTCAATATGGGGTCTTACTAGTCATTTATAAAGAGGCAAAATGATATTCTCGTCCCGAGAATGAATGCCCTTTTTCATGCATGACAATACCTTACTGGCCTTGGCCACTGCTGATTGACATTGCACATCGTTGCATAGTTTGTTGTCTATAACAATTCCCAAGTCCTTTTCGTGTGTTGTTATCCCTAATTTGCTTCCATTAAGGGTATACGTTGCTTGTGCATTCTTTATGCCAAAGTGCATAACTTTGCCTTTTTCAACATTAAATTTAATCTGCCATTTGAGTGCCCAGTCCCCCAGTCTATCTAAATCCCTCTGCAGCAAAGTAATATCTTGCTCACACTGTATTAGTTTACAGAGTTTTGTGTCATTTGATGCTGCTCATGCAATAAACACGAATGAAAGGTATGCAAAATTAGTAATAGCAGAAGAATTTTGTAATAAAATAAGCAACTCCTTGATCCAAACACTGTATTATGCAGCCCAGACAAAAAAAAAATAACATCAGGGTACAGTCAACACACCATTATCATCACATTGCTTATACAGTAAACCAGACAACCCCAAAGCAGTAGTGCATCATACTATTATTTTTCCATTCTAAACCTAATGCATTCTACAATGAGGATCCACCATCAGCATAATGCAAGTTATAAAAAAAATATCCCACAATAAAACAGAAAATCCACTGAAGGACAGTCACCATCCCAAACCGAGTCCACTCTATTACGTATTAACATTTTTCCATGGCGTCCAAACATTAGTAAACTGGGCTATGAAAAGCTATTGGCTTGTTATGGTAAGCAGAAAATCGATATAGACAGTCTGGAGCCTGATTGACAACACTGAGAAGCTGTCACAGACCCGCAGCATTTTCTTTTACAGATCTATGCATCACCACCTGTTGTAATAATGCAAATTTGTGATGCTACTAATAACGACCTTTTAAGTCAGGTTCCCAGGGCACCATGTAAATAGGAGTAGAGAAAGACACTCTTGTCTTTTTCTCCTTGTATGCAGAGATTAAAAATACATAGAAATAATGGTCACAGTCCTTAGAACAGGCCCATATTAATCAGGGCAGGACCCTGGCAATAGCTCTTAGAAAACATATGATTGTGGCAGTGCTGCTTCTTTCTAAGTACAGTGAAGACTATTATTTCCGAGATCTGGAAGAGTCAAAAGAATTTTACCAAATGAATGTTGTCAATGCCATTACATAATTTGGGTCCATGTCAAAAAAGGTTAAAAACTACTGCACTAGACGCACTCCTATTGCCGCACACTGTGCGACAGGCAGGGAAAACCTTAGACCTTTAGGTGCCCTGTGCGAAAAATCTTCATAACACTGCACCCTGGCCACACGCCCTCATCTAATACCTCTCACCATTTAAAACAATACATTGTTATTGACCCCAAAACAAGAGATTGGAAAGCTTAGTAAAAATATATTATTTTTACTCACAGGCATAAACTTGTAAGAGCAATATAAGAATAATATACACCAATCAGCCACAACATTAAAGCTACTGACAGGTGAAGTGAATAACATTGATTATATGGTTACAATGGCAGCTTTTAAGGAGTGGGATATATTAGTTATCAAATGAACAGTCAGTTCTTGAATTTCATGTTTTGGAAGCAGGAAAAATGGACAAGCCAAAATATCTGAGAGACTCTGACATGGGCCAAATTAAAGGTTACGGAGATCATGGGACCCTCTCCTGGTGCAAGCATTTTTGATACACAGGTGTGGATGCATTTTGCGATCCCACCCACCCTCCCCCCACACAGAATGGCTGTGTGAACGCAGCACCGTCACACCTGCAGGGCCCCCTAACACTTTTACTTTTAAGGGGCTACTACTCCATGTAAAAATAATGTTACTATAAAAACCAACCAAACAAACAAACAAAAAAACGGTTTATGAAGTAACCCTTGTTGGCATGTCCCGCTCCTGTTAAAATAAATATGTATGATGGGTCTGTTTGTGGTGTACTATGTGTGGCTAGAGGTTGTAGTGTGTTTGTGTGTGCATACATGTCTAAGGGCTATATAGATTGTGTTTATCAGATCTATAGAGTGTCAGAAGGAGCTGTAGATAGAGAGGGGACATTCTTATCCATGGTGATCCAGTGGGGCTGGGTATCCGGTTGGACGACTCCTGGAATAGATCACGAATTACTGTCTTGCAAGCTCTGGCACATACAATGTCAGTGTATTGATGTTGTACTGCTCTGACTGTCTGCAGACCATGAGTAGCTGTTCTGACAGCTACTTATGGTCTGCACCTTGCAGTAGTTACAGACTAGAGGCTGTCTCCCCTGCGGTATTAGAGCAGAAGCTGGGGCAGACTGTGTGGAGGGCCCCCAAGACCTATGTTGGCCACTTGATACCCCTATTACCATGTATCTCTGCATAGCTCGCACACCCCAAAGGCCAGCACTAGTGGCAAGGTGTGGGTAAATAAACCACCTAAAAAATAACAAGGTGTAAAATTTCCCCTGAGATCCCACACCTTTAGTCAACAATGGATTGCAGCAACCATCGTAAACAATGAAACAGGATTTCCCCACATGACAGACAGATAGATGGTCATACTGATGTTAGACAGATAGGTATACAAATTGATGATAGATAGATAGATAGATAGATTGATTGATTGCCAAACTGATTATTGATAAAAGGTAGATAGATAAATAGACAGCCTGACATTAGATAGATAATGACAGATAGACTGACATTGGATAGATGATAGACTGATTGATGAGCAGATGGATATTAGATAGATAGACTAACATTGGATAGATAGACTAATATTAGATTGATATTAAATAAATAGACTGACATTAGCTAGAGTGATATTAGAGCGATAGAGATTAGATAGATATACTGATATTAGAGCGATAGAGATTAGACAGATATACTGATATTAGATCGATAGATATTAGATCGATAGATCGATAGACTGATATTAGATCGATAGAGATTAGATAGATATTAGACAGACTGATATTAGATAGATAGACAGACAGACAGATAGATATATATGTATCTCAGTCTATTCTGCCCATTACACACAGTTAATAATAATAATAATAATAATAGTAATAATAATAGTAATAATATAGTAATGATCAGGAAGCAGTGCAGTCTCCCGGCCCTGCTGGTGGTGCTGGCGGTGCTGGCAGAGGGCAGGGCGGGGGATGCAGTGAGGGATTAGGGAGGAGGAGAGAGGGGGAGCAGCCTGCACAGAGAGCCGCCGCCGCACACCGGCCCGGGGACGACATGTACATCCTGCCAGTGACGGGGGATGCGGGAGCAGCATGAATCCCCATGGCAGCCATGACCCTGGGGCGGCCGGCAGTGACCCCCCGTGCTGCAGGAAGCGGGAGCATGGGGCGGACAGCCTCCCCGCCGGTATGGAGCTCTCCCGGGGAAGCCATGACGGCCTTCACAGCCCCGGGGATGGGGAGCCCGCCTACACCGAGCCCCCGGCTCCCGGCTCCCGCCTCATGCTGACCGCCGTGTCCGGGCTGCTGCTCGTGTCTCTACTACACCTGAGCCAGGATACTGCACAGCCCGGGGGGGCCGCCGGCGGGGAGCTCAGCCTCACCGTGCTGCTCCTGCGGGGCTCTCTCTATCTGCTCTGTGCCCTGGGCGCTCTGATACTGGGCTCACTGGGTGCCCTCTATGCCACCGGCCGCCCAGCTGCCATCCCGGACTTCACCCGTGCCAGGAGCGCCATCATGAGAGGGGTAAGCAGAGCATAGCATCATGCCCATAGCAGCACTGACAGCTGTCTATCAGCACCCTGCCCTGCCAGCTGTATAGTGCCCTATCAGCACCCTGCCCTGTCAGCTGTATAGTGCCCTATCAGCACCCTGCCCTGCAACCTGTATAGTGCCCTATCAACACCCTGCCAGCTATATAGTGCCCTATCAGCACCATGCCCTGCCAGCTGTATAGTGCCCTATCAGCACCATGCCCTGCCAGCTGTATAGTGCCCTATCAGCACCATGCCCTGCCAGCTGTATAGTGCCCTATCAGCACCCTGCCCTGCCAGCTGTATAGTGCCCTATCAGCACCCTGCCCTGCCAGGTATATAGTGCCCTATCAGCACCCTGCCCTGCCAGCTGTATAGTGCCCTATCAACACCCTCCCCTGCCAGGTATATAGTGCCCTATCAACACCATGCCCTGCAACCTGTATAGTGCCCTATCAGCACCATGCCCTGCCAGCTGTATAATGCCCTATCAGCACCCTGCCCTGCCAGCTGTATAGTGCCCTATCAACACCCTGCCAGCTATATAGTGCCCTATCAGCACCATGCCCTGCAACCTGTATAGTGCCCTATCAGCCCCCTGCCCTGCCAGGTATATAGTGCCCTATTAGCACCCTGCCCTGCCAGCTGTATAGTGCCCTATCAACACCCTGCCAGCTATATAGTGCCCTATCAGCACCATGCCCTGCAACCTGTATAGTGCCCTTTCAGCCCCCTGCCCTGCCAGGTATATAGTGTCCTATCAGCACCCTGCCCTGCCAGCTGTAAAGTGCCCTATCAGCACCCTGCCCTGCCAGCTGTATAGTGCAGTATCAGCACCATGCCCTGCCAGCTATATAGTGCCCTATCAGCGCCCTGCCCTGCAACCTGTATAGTGCCCTATCAGCACCCTGCCCTGCAACCTGTATAGTGCCCTATCAGCACCATGCCCTGCCACCTGTATAGTGCCCTATCAGCACCCTGCCCTGCCAGCTATATAGTACCCTATCAGCACCCTGCCTGCCAGCTATATAGTGCCCTTCAGCACCATGCTGCCAGCTGTAGTGCCTATCAGCACCATACCCTGCCAATATATATGGTACCCTATCAAGCGCCCTGCCCTGCAACCTGTATATAGTGCCCTATCAGCGCCCCTGCCCTACACAGCCTGTATAGTGCCCTATCCATGCCCTGCCCTGCCAGCTATAGTGCCCCTATCAGCACCATGCCCTGCCATATATAGTGCCCTATCAGCACCCTGCCCTGCAACCTACTATGTACTATCAGCCCCTGCCAGCTATATAGTACCCTACCAGCACCATGCCCTGCCAGCCTTATAGTACCCTATCAGCACCATGCCCTGCCAGCTATATAGTGCCTAATCAGTACCCTGCTCTGCCAGCTGTCTAGTGCCCTATCAGTACCCTGCTCTCCCAGCTATATGGTTCCCTATCAGCACTCTGCTCTGCCTGCTCTATGATGCCCTATCAGCTTATTCCCTATCAGCTGTATAGTGACCTGCCAGCTATATAGTGCCCTATCAGCACTCTACCCTGCCAACTATATAGTGCCCTATCAGCACCCTGCCCTGCCAGCTATACAGGGCCCTATCAGCACCATGCCCTGCCAGCTATATAGTGCCTAATCAGTACCCTGCTCTGCCAGCTGTCTAGTGCCCTATCAGTACCCTGCTCTCCCAGCTATATGGTTCCCTATCAGCACTCTGCTCTGCCTGCTCTATGATGCCCTATCAGCTCATTCCCTATCAGCACCCTGCCCTCCCAGCTATATAGTGCCCTATCAGCACTCTGGCCTGCTAACTATATAGTGCCCTATCAGCACCCTGCCCTGCCAGCTATATAGTGCCTAATCAGTACCCTGCTCTCCCAGCTATATGGTTCCCTGTCAGCACTCTGCTCTGCCTGCTCTATGATGCCCTATCAGCTCATTCCCTATCAGCATCCTGTTCTGCCAACTGTATGGTGCCCTATCAGCACCCTGCTCTACTAGCTGTATGATGCCCATATTAGCTCATTCCATATCAGCACCCTGCCCAACCAGCATTCTGAATTCCTGCCAGCACCCTCATACCCATTCGCTACCTGTATCCTACCATGTCAGCTGTCTGATTCCCAGGCTGTAACTGCTTTAATTCTATTAGTCCTGGCTTACTGCTCTGCAATGTGCTGCTGACTGGCAGGGAAAGGGATTGACCCTGTGTGTACAGTGTCAGAGTGACATTAATCCTATAGTTGTCAGAGCATGCCAGTGAGACCGGGCCATACCATAGGAAAAAGTGATAGTCATATAAATGACTGGTTGGTTGTTTTTCCATGTAGTACCCTATGCTAAAAAAAAAAAATACAAATTGAATTAATACATTTTTGGTAATTGATATGATTGACTCTGCTTTCAAGCATGTTGGTTCATGTGGATTTCTAACAGACATTGAAATAATTGTAGTATGCTGTAATAACATCAATTTGGCTTTAA